CATACATACATACATACATACATACATACATACATACATACATACATACATACATACATACATACATACATACATACATACGAGGACGTTACATAAATGAATTAAAGGTCCCATGTCATAGCCATTTCTACTGATCATATTTCCATTGTTGAGGTCTACTAGAATAGATTTAAATTGTGCAATTTTCCAAAATCACATTGGTTTCTCATACAGCATCTCTGTATAGTATGTGTATTCACCAGGTATTCACTCTCTGTCCTAAACGGCTTGTTGGAGCTCCTGCCCCCCCCCTCCCTGTGAGCCCAGTGTGCTCTGATTGGTCGGGATGTTGCTAGCTCGTTGCTGTGAGCTGCCGCGAGGAGCGGACAGATTTCCGGGTCGACGATACAGCGAGAACAAGCGAAACTCACCCTGAGCACACACAAACACTCACAGCCTAAGTAAAAACAATAAGTGTGGCTTGATATTGAGTAAGAAAAAGGTTTATAACGCTGTGAGAATGGGTCTGCGGAGAGCATTTCTCCACGATCCCAACTCGTCTATTACCAGCGTTCAGGGAGCTCTATGCAAGTCAATGGGGACTCCCTGTTAGTTAGCCAAGGGGTCCTGGTGTGTGAGGTGCTCCGCGGATTGGTCCAATTGGGCCAATCCGGTCATTTGTTGTCGATTTGGGTGTTTACACGTCACAGAACCCAGGAAGCAAACAATGGAAAATGAGGAATCTCCAACGAGGCGTTTTGTGGCAGCATAGACTGTGTTAGAGTTTTACTCGCTACAGGGTGTACTTTGAGGGGGTTTGACTCTGCAGACTGTTTACATGCATACAAACCTTCATAACACACAAGGGGATGGGTAATAACCGGAAAAGCATGACATGGGCCCTTTAACATAGGTAAGTTAAATTAAGGTAAAATTAAAGTGAACGGAGCAATTACAACAGAAAATGTCTTCTCATGAAATGTTCTAAAGTTCAACTTTAAATGACATAGTATTTTATTGTAATCGATAAACATATTTGTATTCTAACTTGGCTCTATTCTCAAAGGCTTCAAAGTCACTTTCTGTGGGTCTATTTGTGTTCCTCAGACAATCCAAAGCTTTAAAGTGAATGTGTCCCTGTGGCATTTAGCTGACATTCTGCTGCCTTGTATATTATATCACAATGTATGAGATTTGATCCTACCACATGTCTTAATAGACGGTACTACATGAACCAGAGGTGGTATAGGGGCCATGAGCCAGCTCTTTGTCAGCTAAACTGTCCTTTATGCTGAGGGGTGACTGCTACATGTGAAACTGTACAATTCAAGCTCATGCATGAAACACACATTTCAGGCTTTCTAATCCTCTGTTTGTGGTAAAATAAGATAGAAAAATATGGTTTTAGCTGACAGATGTAACAAACCAGCGAGTAGGTGTTATGTAATGCGCCTTAAGGCAGGTAACCAAAAATGAGAACACTTAAAACGATTTAAAAGACTATTGACTGAGGATATTCTGATGCACACAACAAAATTGCTGCCTTTTTGCAACATCCTGCCTTGAGAAATGGCACAGCGGCACTAAGTTGCTGTCCTGGGAACTAATCCACCATACATTTGACTGCAGTGGTGCCAAGAGGCGATGTTCAGCATCCAAGCTGTGCTGTATTTCAATACCAGCTCCTCTTTGTCCCGGGGCATGCAGCTTCAGCAGATCAGATGCAGGTTGAGTATCTCCACAATAGGCATAAGCACATAGGGCAAACTGAGTAGAGAGTGTGGACTGGTACATGGAGAGGTGCCAGATTGTCTTCTGGGCCCAGCTAGGGTGCCCTTGAGCAAGACAACAGACGTCGGGTGCTGTATATAGTAGCTGCCTTCTGCTTCAAGGATTGGTTAATTCAGAGTTTACATTTCACTTTCTGAATACTAAATAAAATGTTTATCTATAGTAGTAGGTATTGTTTTACAATAGTAATCATGAACAGTGGTTCATAGTCCATCCAACCTTATAGTTATTTGTATTTGTCACTACTGCTTTCTTTATGAAATCCAATATACTTCATGGTATTTCGATGCATTGCTTCCCACCGTACTGTTTTCATACTTTTCTTCGGACTGAAGCTGAAACATTCTGTCAATAAAAAATGTTTTTTGAAGAGAGCTAGAAAAACAACATCATGGCGGTGTGGCAGCATTGCTATGTTAATTTGCCCTTTTTATGAATGGCATGCGGTCCCTGTGGAGCTCTGCCATACATATTTTGGTATAAAATGCAAATGAAGTTTTCAAATGGCATCTATTGTAAGTGTCTGAGTTTCATCCGTGCCACAGCATCAGTGTATTCAGAGCAGTCACTGTGTGTTTATTTCAGTACCCCAGACATAGATTGGCAACTTCTTTTAGTTGGGCACATTTTTATAGTAACTCATTACCTGGACACAATTAAGGAAAGTACAACCATTTGAACTCCTGTTGTGAGACTATTCGAACAAGATTAATACTCATAATGTTACACAAAGAGGCGGAGCCGTACAGGGTGTCAGATTACTAACTGGTTACTAACTGTTTGAAAATTGTTCTATAAAAATGCAAAGTGTCAACAGAAGCCGAAAGGGAACAACAGCCTATTTAAATATTATTATTTTATTTTAACAATTGTATCTAATATAAAAAACATGTATTTGCTACCTGATACTATAACAGACAGTTTGAGAAACAGTGTTTGAATTTCAAATCACTAGCATGTTTTTTTTACCAAATAGACTTGCGCACGCCCCTTTGAGAAAGTCTGAAGAAATGTGTGAAAAAACCCAGAGGACAACAGAGAAGACTATCTCTATCATTATATTCAGCCTTGAAACTTAAATGTGTGGTGGATATGGGTCAAGGGCATAAGTGACCAACTTCTAACCATAAAAACCAAAAGGCTATAAATGGCTAAAAAACAACAACACTACAATAGTGATTAAGAACAAAAACAGTAGTGTGTGTGTGTGTGTACATGTCTTTGCATTTGTGTGTCTGTTTGTGTGCACGACGATTGTGTGTATGGGCGCACACTCTGCCTAGGCTATAAACAAGGTGATGGATGCTGGTGCCAGAGTGTGTTGAGGCTTCTCTGTGCACCATGTGTGGAACGTAACTAAAAAAAGCAAGGACTTAAGAAGCACTTTCAGGGGCAGAAAAGGCTTATATTAGCACTTTAGTCGACTCTCAGGTACAAGGTCAAGGGAAAGTAATACATACTTGGCGTGGAACCGGCAATTGCATTACGACATTATCAAAGTCTTTTTCAATCATTCAACACAATACCATTTACTTTAAAGCTGAAAGGTGTAAGATATGGCCAGAATTGTATATTAAAACATTGAAAACATAAACATTACCAACATGTGAAGGTATATACCACACTACAACAACTATAATATTAAATATACGTACAAAAACATACTAAGGTAGGCCATTTTAGATTACATTTAGATTGTATAAAGCTAGCAGTAGAGGGGTAATGATGCTCCCTATTTATTTTGAGCGTGTGGCTCGGTATTACACTTTGCACCTTTAAAGGGGACAAATAATGCTCATTTTCAGTTTTCTGTACATTAGCATTCCTACTTGAACCTTAACATGCTTTGATGTTTAAAAAAACACGTTCTTTTTCTGATACTGTATCTCTGAATATACATGAATTCACCCTGATCCTGAAAGGCTGCGCTGTCTCTTCAAGCCGAAAAGCCGGTTTATTCTATGTCACAAAACCAATTACAAAAGTAGGACTCATCTCAACTCTACAAAGCTTGAATATGAGACTTGAGCTGAGTGAACATTTTCAACCAGCCCAAAATGCATTACGGCTCTTTAGACTGTCAAATGGCTGTGGGCTAGGCGGTTTAAAAAATTAACAGTTGGATACAAAATAAATGATGGCGAGTGACATTGAGGCACAGTGAAGGGGGAAAGCAAAGGACATATAAAATGTACTGTTGAAAACGAATGTAACACTACCATATTTAATACATTTTTCCATTGCTGTAAAAATAATAATGGACAATAATTAGTGAGTGAAAGAAGTAACGTTGATTTACATTTTGATGAACATTTAAATTCAACCATAGTACTAAATAGCTAGACACTGTCATGTGATGAAGAGAAAAGATTGTGTGAACCGTCTGCTAGTAATGGCATTCATAAATTACTGAACACTTAATCGTTAATTTAGTAGGCAGTATGCAGTACACACATATTGAGTATGTTAGTATGTGATTTCAGACACTGCTTTGGTCTTACATTCTGCAACTGTTTTGGTTTAGTCTTGTCGCTCTCATTAACCTTGTTTCCATGTGCAGGCAGATCAGCTAACAGCTTTAATAAACCGCCTGTACGCTACATGATCAGGACCAAACTTAACTGAACATAGTGGATCATTTAGCAGCCAAAGAACCAGATATTTCCCTCAGGACTAGGTGGAGACCAAAGACGGAGCTAAAATGAGAGTTTTGGGGGGTCTGTCCAGTGGGCAGAAGCACAACTTGAGTTAATGTTATGTGTCTTTCTGTCTTTTGAATCGAGAATGTGCTAACATTTGCTACAATTTTAAATAAGCTGCCTTAAACATTGGTGACATCTAGTCTAAAAAGTCATATTTTTCTGAATAGTGTTAATTCGTATTATAAGTGTTCGTTTAATGTTGATGGCAGGGTTTGCAATTGTGTTTTTTATTTATTAAGTGCCTTTTAGTGATATGTTTGTTCTCTGTGCAACACTATTTCTTTACTCTAATCGTTTTTTCCTTTCGTGAGACAATAAAAGCAACCCTAAAGGCATTGGATGATTGAACCGAAAACTAATGAATAAATAACTGTGAGACTAAAAAGATAAATTGTATGAAAAGACTGATATGATGTTTACCTCTGTAATGATTCAAAACATTTGTATGAGTTAAATAAAACCTTCAAAGTACTTTTAAATGTTATATTTTGAGTGTATATTGTGGAGAATAAAATGGAAGCTTCTCTTGGGTGATATTACATTGATGTGCTCCCTCCCTCCCCCTCTCTCCCTCTGCATGCTCTCATCTCGTCCTGCAGGAATAGACTCTTCCTCCGCCGCTGCAGCCTCACTCTGACACAACCGGCATGTCTGCAAACTGAGAGCCGCACAGGAAGACACACAGAGGCACAATCCCCTCTTTAAGACGCACAACTTGTGTTTTCCTTCTCCCAGCTGAAGCACAAAAAGACGAGTGGTAATAACACTGCGAAGAGGCATTTTTTTTTGGAGGGATCAAGACTTCGAGGAGGATCAAAACAAGGTAAATGAAACCTTAAGGGTTATTTGCGTGTATGGCTTTCACTGTACGGGACTGGATGGTGATGGGGCTCGTACGCAGGGGTAAAAGATGCTGATACACTTCCACACTGTACATGCATCGTGGTGTGTGTATCCAAGCCTGCGTGGTGCAGTTATTTACCAGGGAGTACATAATGTACGGTAGGCTACTGTTAGTGCCGAAATGCTGCAAAGCACCAGTATATGTGAGTGAATACTGTAAGGGGTTCACGTGAGGGGAAAATGATGCTGCTGCAGATGATGGAGAGGAACCAGGAAATGGTTCAATGACGCTCAGCTGCTGCAGATTCGACTTTGGGGCGAGCGATAATGTCACCAGGAAGAAACTGCGATATAATAATGAGTGCAGCAAGTTTTCAGGAGGACGTGTTCTTTCTGCCAGTCCGCTGTGCCGCAATGGCAAAGCAATGCTGTAAAATGCAGTGCGGATGTCATGTCGTAAAAAAGATGGTAGAAAAAAATTATCATCATAAAGTACAATAAGGTCGGTTCAAAGTCAGTCTTGAGCTCCGTAACTCCCGAAGAATATTATAAGAATATTATAATGATTTCAAATAGTTTTTTTCTTTATTACAGAAAAGCACCACAGTGAAGTGCCTTAGACGTCCCAGCAGCAGTGTTATAGAACAAATGATACGTTAGGTTTTTACAAAATGAATACTAATTATCTTTAAATCCCAAGAAAAAAATTAATACAATGTCATTTTTATAGTCATTATGGTGAATAAAATGTCATAATGCTCTTCATAAACTTAGAAAGCGTGAGCTCATGTAGGAAATGATAGTGTCTTTAAAAAAAAGTAATGTTATTCTCTGTCATGGAATGCCCTTGCAGAGATGCTCTCCAAGGCCCATACAGCATGCCCCCACTAGCTCATCTTTGACCTCTGTCTCAGCTTTTTATTATTCTGGGAGATATATCTAGGAGGATACACGACAGGCAACGTCAGCAAAAATCCGCAAAAGATGGAGTGTTTGTTGTAAATCAAGGGCGCAGGTGCCTCTACAAAACTCAGTGTTGTACTGGAGGGTAAACCATCTTAACCCAGTTAAGTCTCACTCTTTCGTTCCTTAGACTTGGTCACATTTTGTGGCTCTAAAGGTGTACATTCATGAGTTTAAGTAATCAAATGTGTGTGAAAATCTTGTGATTATTATTAAAGTAGTAAAGCGTCCTTTGCTAAACAGAGATCTGCGTCTGGAGGTCGTTTCTTGTCCGCATCGAGCCTCTTCAGCGTCATCCTCCCCCATCCCATCAAACACTTGAATAAAAACCCCTGGAGTGAAACTGCATGTCCTAACAGTGGCATTCATGCGATCTTGTGTATTCTCTCCCCGGCTGCAGGTCTGTCCCTGATAACCTGACCACTGAAGGAAGAGAACACAGAACTGCTTCATCATGAATTTTGTAATGAAAGCTGCGATGGGAGGTGAGTAGTCTGCCGGGCTAGGGGTTGATTTAACACCACTGCAGTGTAAAATATTTAAAGGGTTGTTCAGCAGCGATGGCAGCAGGACTGTACTAGTGGCCCAGTAGTTATGGGGGATATTGGGTTGAGATAATCCGTCCTGCACCAAACTCCTGACTTCAAACATCAGCGACGCATTCCACCTCTCCCCCTCTCTCACTCTCTCACTCTCTCCTTCTCTCTGCATCAATCTTTGAAAACCTCTTGGGGCAGGGTATGACTTCCTGTTGGTCAAGTAATGCTTCAATGAAGATTATAGAAACCTGTTCATGGTTTGTTGCTTGCTTTTCTGCTTATTTTTAAGTGTCTTTATGACCAATTATTCCCTAAAAAGCGTGTTTAAGTATCTGTCGTAAGGTTTGGACTGCTGCATTAGAAATCGGGCAGCAGCAGCAGAAGATTTCCACATATGCAGCACTAATAGTGTACCTGAAAAGTGTCCAACATGTCACCTTCTCAGGACGTCAGCAGCAGCCTTATTTTTAGCCTGATCTTCATGCATTTTTGAGTATCCTCAGTGGAATGTGTTAAGGAGATTTTAAGCCCAGTAAAGGCTTAATCATCGGCGCCTTGTAATGTTTTAATGACATGAACCCCCACCCCAAAGAAAATTACAGCTATCACAGTCTATGCTTTCTAGCCAACTGTTGGCGTCTTTAAAACTAGAGAAATAGAGAAGGGCTATTTTGCCAAGAACTATGATGAACACTTTTTTTTAACAAGACTTTTGTCCTTTTAAGCCTTCAGGTATTATCCTTTAGGATATTATCTTAGCTATTATTTGCCCCCTAATTAGTCCTCATTATGGCCCTGTAATTTATCCCCCTTGTCAGCTATAGCTTCACAGGAAAGGCATGAAAGTGGCACCAGTAGGTTTAATGCTGCAGGTCATTCATGCAGGTTGCTGAGCTGTTGTTGTCCCGCTCACAGAGGTGTTGGGCGGGTACAGTTGAGGTGTGGAGTTGCAGCCCCTGCTCCTCATTGGGATGCAGAGGACGCCGCCACTGCCTCGCTCTGCATAGCTGCTGTGCCTCGTGTCTGCGCTAGGAATTCTTAAACCAACTGCATTGCATTGGATAGTGATTTTTATTCCACAGAGGTCGAGCTGCACTCCCCCAGCAGACTTTTGAAATATATTTGACAGTGTGGACTGTGTTTGCATCCGTACCCTGCCTGTACTGCAGAGGTGTTTCGTAGACATTGTATGGGACGTGTGTGTACTGCATCTCCAGGCGAAATGAATTATAGACGCTGCAAAGGCCTACTTTAGGGTATGGATTTGCGTGTGTGAGAGAAGGAGGAGAAAGTGAGAAAGGGTGCAAGAAAGATACAATCTGAGAGTAGGTGTGTGTGTCTAATAATCAATATGTATGCCTATTACGGTGATTATTCTTCTACCAGTGCAAGCTGTATTTGGTTCTGGTCCTCGTTTACTGACGGGGACACAGTGACCTCTTTCCACTCATATGTCTGCGAAATAGTTGACAGTGCACTGGACCATTGAAGCTCCCTGAAGGGGAACAAAATCAGATAATGAAAAGAACCAATTAGCCAGCTAATCAATCTGATGTCGTTGCCTGTCAGTCAATACATCAATATGAGCAATAAAATGGATGATTCTGAATTGGGACATTTATTACTTCTGAAATTGGACTGATTTTAATTTCCCTCATGTCTTGTCAGGCTTTACTGTCATCTTTTAAACAAAGACAACAATAAAGATTAATATGGCTTCTCATCAGTAGACTTTTTCCACATAAAACATCAACAACTTTTTCAATGGATTTCTGTCAAATTGTATCCACACATTCATGTCCCCCGTAAGGATGAATTATAATAACCCCTAGCATTTTATTTAGCACTGTAATCAAGGCAACTGCAATCCTTTGCATGTTAACACCCCAAATTAGGATAGCACAATAAACATTGTAGGCTACCTACTTAAGATTAGCGCGTTAGCTTCATCATTGCATGTTAGCATACTGGCTATGGGATCAGATCTCATAGTTTTTTGTTACCTTGCTCTTTTCCGTCCTGTCATTGTTTTGCTCCTGATTTTTACACCGTCACTGAGTGTTTTGCTGAGTGTGTTCGATGACGGGTGTTTGGATAAGTCTCCATGACAGTGAGGATGCTGCCAGTGCATTAGCTAATTCTCCAAGGCTTATTTGGTTACAGATACTTGGAAGAAAACAGAGCGATGTTTGACTGCAATGATTCAGCAGGACTGAATCAACGCAGGAATTCAGAGCCGTATATCTGCAGAATTGAGATATTTGTTATTCGTTCCTTACTGCGGTAGCCATGTTAGCTCATAATACTGCTGCATTGTCTCTTGCCGGTGTATGGGACCAGGTACTGCAGCAATAACAAAAGAGTAAAGTCTCTTACGGGTCGTTAAACAGCTTAAGTAGAATGTAAAACTGGTACAAATTAGATAGCTCTATTTGTTCTTTAGTTTAGATTACCAAGCTGCCTCTCGAACCCCCTCCCCCCAATTTTCTCACTGTCATTTATTTGAAATAATGGTGTGACCTGCTGTCTCATTTATTAATTTCACTTTCTTAACAGAAAAAACTGTTAAGACTGTGTTAACAACATACCTTATTTTAGGCATCCAACCAAAACATTGACTTGCTAAAACTAATAAAGCTAATTTGTGGGTGTTAAGACTCTAAATAACTAAATATGACCTTAATGTATAAACCTATATGAAATTACAATATTATACACATTTTGCTCTCTATATTACATAGATAAGTCGCCACTGACGCCCATTGTCTCTTAAAAACACTTCTCCTTTTCAGCCTGTAGCTTAAATTACATCTTAAATGGTTACAGTGGCTCACTTGTGCATTGACTGCTTATGCTCCTAAGAGCTTTAGAGCTTTAGTGCTGACTCCTAAAAGCTGAAGACATTTTTGACAGAATAAGGTGCTGTTAGGTGAGGTAGACTTTAGTCCTGAGGTGTTCAGCTTGATCAAACCCTGAAAGCCTCAGGCAGCAGTCAAACCAGCAGATTTCAGCAAAAAGTCAGCACTACACAGCCAATAAGGTTTAATTACAAAATAGAGAAAATATTGCTTTTGTTTTATGTCTCATTGATAAATGTGTGCTGTGACAAATTAAAATCTTTTAAAAAAGAGAATCAAGCTAAACATGTACAGTGCCAAATGTTCTTTTAAACATCAATAATCTTTTAACATGATTAGCAGATTAGTTTAAAGGTCCCATGTCATGCTTTTCCGGTTATTACCCGTCCCCTTGTGTGTTATGAAGGTTTTTCTGCATGTAAACGGTCTGCAGAGTCACAAACCCTCAAAGTACACCCTGTAGCGAGTAAAACTCTAACACAGAAAAGACCTGTCTATGCTGCCCCAGAACGCCTCGTTGGAGATTTCTCTTTTTCCATTTTGTTCTTCCTAGTCATAGTGACATAACAATACCCAGGTCCAAATGGACCAATCCGTGGAGCTCCTCACACACACACAAACACACACACACACACTCACTCAGCCTTATCTTTTCTCAGCCGCAGCTTCGTGGATCTCTCCATTCACAGTTCGCCACACACTCACATGTGTGTGCTCAGGCTGAGTTCCATGGTGTCTCGCTGTCTCGTAGACCCCACGCAGCAACCAGGAAACGACACCAGTAATACAGCTCACACTGTCCGCTCCTCGAGCCTCAAAGGGCGGAGCAGCGAGCCCCGCAACGTCCCGCCAACACAGCACCCATACCCCACGCAGCACTCTCATCTGTTTTTCATTACTGGTGTCATTTTCTGGTGTCTAACAAATGCCATTGTAACATAAACACACATCAGAGCACAGTGGGCTCATAGGGAGGGAGGGGGGGCAGGAGCTCCAACAAGGCGTGTAGGACAGAGTGAATACACATACTATACAGAGATGCTGTATGAGAAAACCAATGTGATTTTGGAACATTGAACAATGTAAATCTATTCTAGTAGACCTCAACAATGGAATTATGATCAGTAGAAATGGCACAACATGGGACCTTTAAGTAATTCAAGATGAATAGCTCATTATTATCTCATCACGCAGATCCGCTTCTTCAAGAAAGGCATTGAGCTGGTGTCAAAGAAGATGGACAACTTCCTCTCCTCTGTGTCCAACATGACTCAAAAGTAAAGTCTATCTCATTAACAACCATGTTCCTGTGTATGTGATGAACCAAAGCTTTGGTATCAACAGTGTACAGCGCTGTGAATAGTTGTTTATAATCCTAAACAGAAATAGTTATACTCTGAACTTCTGCAACACTCATCACCCTTTTTAGGCATGATTTTGCAGAATAACACTTAATAATGTTAAGCATCGAGTTTGTTTAAAAGAAAGTTCTAAATGTTTTGATGGAAATGCTTGCATTGAAACTTTGTCGGCCATTAGTATCCAGGCCCAGCTGGACTCGGAGGCGGAGGGCATGCGTGCGGCGCAGAGGGAGCTTCTGTCTGTGGAGGACACGGTCTATATGCCAGACATGGACACTGAGCCTGTCAATCGCACACTCATCCAGAAGGCTGGCTATCTCAACATTAGAAAGTAAGATTCATTGCCCTCATCATGGCCCTATCTTAAATCTGAGGACACCTCATATTCACTTAGCGTTCTTTTTTGGTCGACATGTAAATGTGTGTCTTGGTAGGAAAAAAACATGCTTTAATATGTACCATTTGAAACATGTGACAGTTCAATGATTTGGTAGATGATTAAGTCTGGCACAATAGATCGTGCATTCAGTATACAGTGGTTATATGAAAGGGACCCGTTTTCCTTTTCTGTAGTGTGTTATATAGGTTTCTGTGCATGTGGTCTGCAAAGGCTAAAACACCAATGTTCCCTCCAGAGGGAGTTTCTCTCCCACACACTCCCCCCTGCCTGAAACGCCTCAATTGGACTCTTTTGTTTACTTCCGTAACATAGTGACATGACTCATGCTTCCATGGATAGCGTTACAACAATTTGTACATGATAGGCTAAGGAGGCGGGACATCTCTTGGCGGTTGATCATTACAAAGCCGGCCAGCTAACCAATCAGAGCAGACTGGGCTCTGGTTTCAGACAGAGGGTGAAAAGAGGTGCTGCAGCACAGGAGAAAATGAAAGACATTACATGTTAGACGCTTTTATCCAAAGCAACTTACATACTCAATACTGTGGGCAATCCCCACAGGAGCAATTTGGGGTGAAGTGTCTCAGGGACACAACGACATGCTGACTGCAGTGGGGTTTGAACCTGTGACCTCCAGATCCGAAAACCAACGCACTAGTCCACTGTGCCACACGCCCCATAGAAACCTTTTTGAACATTAAAGCATTTGAACATGTCACAGTAGAGGCGCACGATAATAATGTGAAGCAACACATTTGCAAGTTAATGGGCCGTTTAAAAGTGCAGTCAGCGATTCTGGAGAAAGTATGTTTATTTTTGAACTTATATTTCTTTCTTTGCAATTGTCACAACCAGGGCTGTGTATTAATGACATATGTCTTCTCAGTTCACACACAGAATGATGAGTGAGATGTTTCACTGTATTTAACTAAACAGTGTATTGGATTTGATTTGCTGACTTCACCTTAAAGTCTTGAAGTTAGAAATAATCAAACAAAAAAATGATAAATGTGCTTCTCTTGCTAAAGTTGTTCAAAATAAGCATGACTGCAGTAAACAATAAGTCAGTCACAGCCGACACTTCAGGTCAGGCAACATGTTGACAGTGTGCGCTGTCAGCCTTTTGCTGAGTGGATGTATGAGAAAAGAAACGTCCGTAATGGCTCCGGGAGGTGGAACTGCAGCGTAGCCCGCGATGTGATTTAGTGAAATGTCAGAGCTGTCAAACTCTGTCTCTCGCTCATATACATCCAAAGTCTTTGACAAATGTCTGTGACACCAGAGAAAAGGTTTCCGCAGAATGTCATTCTGTTTAATGACACACACCGCCAGGAGCCTTTTGAACGCTTGTCAAAAGCTGAGTCCACAGAACATTTACTATATATTTCTCTATATTAAGGGTCTGAGTCACCCACGGCAGCATGAGCCATTCACTGTGATATTAATCAAAGGAAGTGTATCTGCAAATATTTTTCAAACAGGATGTACAAGAAGAAGGCCATTTCAATGAGTCATGCAAGTGTCTCGTTGTTTTGGTGAGTCAGAGTTAAAGGACATTGTAGTGTACTTTGTTGTTTATGCACAGAAAGTGATAGCCAAAGGAATTTCAAACCAAAACAAAACAGCTGTTCACCTTCACAAAAAATACATGTGAAGGAGAATTCATATTTACAAGTGTGAGGAAAAAAATAAGGACAAAACTAAAGTATTGGTTTAGTATTGGTTTCTAAGCTGATTCTTTTATTCAAGAATATTATTATTATTACTATTATTCAGTTTCTAAGCTGATTCTTTTATTCAGCTCAATTGGTTGTGACATATAAATTCCCAAGCAATACCAAATACCTTTTTATTATAAATTGTACTATCACAGAATCATATATCTTACAAAAAAGAATATAACATAATATTTTCTTTATATTTTAAAGACTAACACCTATATCATAATGACCTGGAGCATTTTTTTGTACAAATGAAATCACCATTATTATTTATAATGTTTATATTTTTCCTAGTTCTAGTGAAATGTTTATTTGTTTTAGTTTTCAAAACGTTAACACAACTTTTTAAGGAGGAAGAATTAGAATCTACTTCTTGCATATCTTCATTTTGAACTCATTTTGAGCCAGATCCTTAAATCCCTGCCATTCTTCCTCTTTTACGAAGCCCTCGTCACTTATAGAACGTTCTATTACTCCACCAATAAACCTTTCGAAATCTCATTTTTTTGCCGACTACTATCCACTCTTTCTCCCCCTGTGCTCCAGTAAAACCGGCCTAGTGACCACAGCCTGGGACCGACTGTACTTCTTCACCCAGGGAGGGAACCTGATGTGCCAGCCGCGGGGGGCGGTGGCGGGGGGCATGGTGCTGGACCTGGACAACAGCTCCGTCATGGCTGTGGAGTGTGAGGACAGACGCTACTGCTTTCAGATAACCTCCCCCTCAGGAAAAACGTAGGGACACTTTTCCACATGTCCAACAATAAGAGTAACGTGAATGAGATACTGGAGGAATGTTGTTTCATTCTCTCCCATTTTCATCACTGCCTGCAGGTCAATGATCCTACAAGCTGAGAGCAAACGGGAATATGAAGAAGTAAGTTTGAAAGATGCCGTTTAAAAAGCTGTCGGATCTTCCTTGTTGTTTAATAACTCCATTCAAAAGACATCTGCTGGTTCAAGTATCTGTCATATTGTACTGGAGGAGCTGTCAGGACCGATCTGCGTGTTTGTCATATTTCCTTTTGTGCTTTGCCACATCTGACTGGCCTGTCACAGCTGGTGGCAGTCTGGTTCAGAGGAAGTCCTAATGTGGATCTCTTTGTTTCTTTTTAGTGGATTTGCACCGTGAACAACATTTCCAGACAGATCTACCTGACTGACAACCCAGAGGTAACACACACACCCCACACACACTGCACGTTTAAAAAGGAACCAACGAAACCTACAACATGCTAACTTTAGTTGCTAATATATTGGTGGATTCAAAATAAACTTAATTGTAAAGTTTAAGCTGAGATGAAAGATACTAATCCCCCCCGGGGAAATTCAGGAGTTTAAGCGGCCACAGAGTGAGATTGAAAAACAGGACAGTACAGATTCACACAAGATTAATAAATTAAAGATTTAATTTAAATACAAATTATATACAGGTGAGTGTTTCCCCTAGGATGGAGTCATAGCAGCGGTGCTAAGGCACGTGGGCCCAGCGTAATGTGACCGTGGAGCGCGTGGAATTTTTTAGTGTGTGTACGTGCAAAGTGTGCCCCCGCCAATGTGTCTGCCAGCAAAAGAAAGGCTCTTGAGGCCTAGTATCAGGGCCGGTTCTAGCCAATTTGCTGCCCTAGGAGAGATTTTATATACATGTATAAAGAATAAATGAAAAATCTCTACAAAAGACAAATACACTACAAAAACAGAAACGTATTGACATGGGTAATATAAATAAAAACGGCTTCAAATGTATTCAGTATTGTATGAAGATGTTTGAATTGGGAGGTGGACGTCACATCCTCTAAGGGGGTCCGGGGGTATCTAACTATCTTAACTTATCTAAACACTCAGAGAGTCCTTTACCTCACTGAGCTGTAGTTATCAGCCTCTCAGTCTGACAGGAGAGCTCTCCTCCACCCTGGTTGGAGAAACATCTACTTCTTATATCCGTTAGCGCAGCTAGCACCAGATTCTAATAACAACAGCGCGGGTACCGGTGCGCCCTCTCTCTCTCTCTCTCTCTCTCTCCCTCGCTCGCTCTCTCGCTCCCACGCTCGCACTTTGGCTGTGAACTGCGGGCGCCAGATAAGCCAACATCCCCCATTTTCATCACTTACAGCGCCCATCGTACAGGGCAAATGAAAAGTGTAACCGGGGTGAAAAGGGTGTTACATTTACTTAATTATGAATGTTGTTACATCAAGGCCGAAAATTAGGATGAGCGCCAACGGTCAAAAATGTTTTTTCCCTCCCAGAGCTACCAGCGCAGCGCCCCCTGGATCTGGCGCCCTAGGTCCTAGTACATACAGTGGCAATGTCTCAAGATTTAGCAAAAATACACCTTTATTGAACATACAGTAACACAAATACTACAAATCCACATAACAAACTATCAAAAATGCCACTTATTATTATTTTAACTAAATTAAAAAAAAGTTGTATTTGTATATAGGGGAAACACTGCAGGTAAATAACTGTTAAAATAAGAAATAAATTAAATGAACATATATACATATTTGAGTAAGTTAAGTTGTGTCAAATGTTATTTATTTTTGTGCCAAAGAAAAGGCATCTGCCCTTGCTCCTTCATCCCTTAAACACTGTATATAATAAGAACAAATTAGAAACAACAATTATAAATTACATCTACAATAAGCATTCAATCTGTGAGTTATTGAAAGTGCTTATACATTATTTGTGTGTGCTTACTGTTCAGTATTTTTACCACCTTGGGGTGTAAAAATGGTATATGAGGTGTCTGCACCGAGCTCTGATGCTTCGTAGGCGTATCCTGAGGGAAGGAACGCAAACTGAACGTGTGCAATGTGACGGCCTGAGGTGTTAATCTGAATCCGTGTCGATGATGTCCGTATGATTTTATTCATCTGTACTGGCTTAGCCGTGTTTGGACTGTCAGAAGTGCTCTAACAGTAAGGATGCCCTCTCTAAAGCAAACAGGAAGACATTTTGTTTTTGTGGACATTTCGTTTTTTTTTTTAAAGCATCGCAGAAAGTATACAGTTTTGATTTGATCTTGCTGAGAAAATCCATTTGTTGTTCTTCTCTGTTTCAGAGGCATAACATATAATGGTATTGTTCCAGTGTTGTCTCGTGGACCCCCTCCCTCCCTTCTCTCACAGCTGTTGTTGCTTTTGAAGCAAAACATCTTGCCTGTTTGCAGGGGGGTTGACTCTGTGAAAATGTTTACTCTTGTCACACAAACAGACAGTCGCTGTGTCTGAAATATCTCACTTTTTGTATTTTCCCTTCATGCTAATCCCTAGGTGGTTTACCATGGAGTAAGTGATGATTACAGATTTCAGATACTAATCATCCTGTTGTGTTACTAGTGGAGCAAAACCGCAAATCACACGCTTGTCATCTCAAGATCTTTAGGAACCAGTTGTGTATCTGTACGCTCTATTAAAGCTACTGTTAATGTTTTGTTCCTTTTTGTGGGGGATTTCAAATCTCTATAGAGCTGTGGTCTGATTTCTAGGTGCTACAGAATTCAGACAAAAGCTGGGAAGTAAATGTTGGGCACAAAACAACAAATCAAGAATGTTTTCACACACCTTGTTTTGTTGTTGTGAAAGTTGTCAGTGCGGTGATAGACCCCTGGTGTGGGTGTTTGTGCAAAAGTGCATAGACTCATCCTCATTTGCATATAAATATATACTTAATGATCTGTGTTCTCCCTCCTTGTCTCACTTATTCTCTTTCTGAACTCTGTTAATTGCTTTGTTGAAAAAAATAATTGAGCATTCTTCTTGTTGCCATTAATTAGAGTAAAACAACGATATGTAGAGAGCAAACTTGCACCTCAATATATCATTGGGTTTTTTCTTGTTTTTTGAAATTTAAAGCATTATTTAAAAATGAACTTTTTAACTAATCGTCTTAATGTATTCAAACTTCAGGTTCAGGTTATTTATTATTTATTTAAGGTTCTTCTCCCAAAATTACAACACAGGATATATACTGTATGCCTGGGTAAGGAAAGACTTAACAAAATAAACCTGGAAGTACTTGTATGTGTTATTGCTAGTAAATCATTGTACACATGTAGAGAGTATGGGAGAGATAAGAGAACGGTTAACATTTTGTGATGGTTTTTAACCTTTTAGGCACTTAATACTGCTCTGCTCTGATTTGATAAATAAGCCAATTTCTGATACAGAGATCTTGTTTGTTTTTTAGGCTGTGGCCATTCGACTGAACAAGAGTGCCATCCAGGCGGTCACCCCCATCACCAGCTTTGAGAAGAGACCGGAGGGCGAGGCCAACCCTGACAGGTCAGGCTCGTCTAACTTTACAATCTGCATCCTTTTCTGGAGTTTATAATGAAGTTATTCAAAGGTGGCTTTTAAACTAGGCTGAACTGGGTTTTTGATTTGTATGCGACTTGCTTTTTGCATGTCTTATTGGTTATTTATGTCAGTATGTATCTCAAATGTTTATAATTGTGTCAGTGCAAAACACAACATCTTTACATGTAAATTGTTCACGGCGTAAAAAGAGATTGAGAATGTGATTACATTTTCCCTCAGTAGGGAAGGAACAAAATGTCCGCCTATGATAACTGAGGTGAACCGACATTATGCATCTTGTCACTTTCTGCTAAGTTGCATACCGCTTAAATGTTCTCCACGCTACGAATGAGCAATTATAGCTTGGCAACGGTAACTAGGCTTGTCAGGTTAGAAGAAGAAGAAGAAGAAGATACACTTCATTAATCCCTTACAGGGAAATTTCTTTCCCCACACAGGGGAGGATATACATGCACACACACAACCACATGCAGATAGGAGAGGTGGCAGAGCAGAGAGGCTGCCAGGTACCCGGTCTGGTCCGATCGGGACGTGAACCGGCGACCCTTCGGTTCCAAGATCAAGTCCCTACAGACTGAACCACTGCCGCCTCAAAGATGGACTTTTTATTAATCCCTCGTGGGATTGGATGGATTTGACCCATCCTAGTGTAAGGAGCAGTGTGCTGCCATTTTGAACGGCGCCCGGGGAGCAGTGTAGGGAACGGTGCGTTGCTCAGGGACACCTTGGTAGCACTTGGTCTTGCCAGGACTTGACATGGTGACCTTCCAGTTGCCAAGCCAACCCCCTATCGACTTCGCCGCCACCACCGCCAGGCTTTGAATTTCTCAACGTGTCAAAGTGGTGCCAATTGTTAAAAGAAATCCTAAAGAATCTGAACACTGAAAGCATTATTGGTTTCTGAAACTGTTTTTTTGAAGTTGAGTTTTGGATGTTTTGGTTATTCAGTTTTTTCCAAATAACTGATCCGCTGTTTCCCCCTGCAGAGCGAAGCCAGGCGGGGTCCATACCACCGGTGTTTCCCAGAAGACGGGGGTTGCTCCGGAAGCAGAAGACCTGATCGCCCCCGGGACCCCCATCCAGTTTGACATCATGCTGCCAGCCTCCGAGTTCCTGGACCAGAACAGAGGAGGGGGGAGGTGAGGGTGCATGTTAGTGAGAGCAGAGCAGGAGTGATTAGAGCTGCTGGTGGATCATTTCCTGAAAGTCTGCCTCATAGTGGTTATTATTTCATTTCCAGGAAGCAAAAATAGTTCTTAATGGCCTCGATGCAGAGGTTTAATTGCTTTTTGTGTGTGTGTGTGTGTGTGTGTGTGTGTGTGTGTGTGTGTGTGTGTGTGTGTGTGTGTGTGTGTGTGTGTGTGTGTGTGTGTGTGTGTGTGCGTGTGTGCTCCCTTCCTGGCAGACGCACAAATCCATTTGGAGAAACGGACGATGACTGTTCTCCAGAAAGCGACGGTAACCATTTCCCCTCATCTAAATGCAACTAAATGTTTCTGTAAAGCACAGTTTGAGCCCGGCTTGACCTCGTTGTGTGCCTGTTCATGTCCCTTACCTTCATACCTGAACCAATGGCTTGACTTCAGTGTTTTATGCTGCCGACCTGTTTGTGATGATTGTATGTTTTCCGCAGACTCCCTCCTGCAGCAGGTGTTCGCCGTGCGCTTCCAGGGTTCGATGGCGGTGCGCTGCGGGAACAATCAGGAGGTGATCTACGAGGCCATGAGGCAGGTTCTGGCCGCCCGAGCCATTCACAACATCTTCAGGACCACAGAGTCACACCTCATGGTCACCAGCAGCAGCCTCAGGTACCGTTTACTGCATATCTGTCAAGTTGGACATGAATACCAGAGATTTGGACAAACTTTTCAGAAGTTTACTTCCAAAGAAAATACAACTTTTTCTGCAGGTGGAAAATAAAATTGATAGTCCTGTACTGAAGGTAGAAAGAGAAATGATATGGTATTTAAAATGCTGTTTGTGTTTTCTCTGCAATCTTTTTGGCTCTGTTGAAAAAACAATAGTACTATTTCATCTGCCTCACAATCTTTTCTGCTACAAGTCATATTTCATTTTTTACACTCTGATTTGGAAAGCTGTTGTAAAACCCTCGGTTTATTTTCCCATTGATAAGAAGCTTCATCTCGTGTAAGCATTGTTTCGAGCTGAAACAAAACAAGGTCAAGGCTGTTTCACGAGTCTTCATTATTCACAAGTGTCTCCTTTGTCTTCACAATAGGTTGATTGACCCTCAGACTCAGGTTACAAGAATCAGTGTGAGTATGAACAGTTATTGAATCTGTGTTAATCAAGAGCCCTTTCTCTTCTTTGTTCAGACGTGAAGATTTAGTCAAGGTTGCGAAAAGTTCCGATAATATTTCTTTCATGGAAATGAACAGGAATGTATGGTAATTAACGAGAACGCGGTGAAATCTCATACGGAGATTTCATTCATTTGTCTAACTAATGCCCCTGAACTGCAGTCAGTGATTTCTTTCTTTATACAGTGCAGTCTAAAGTCAAATGCATGGAAGTTTATGGAAACTAGTGGAATTTGAAATAGCACTAATAAATAATTGAATACCAAGATTTTAACCGTGAAGTAAACTTTAAAGTTAAAGTAATTATAATTTGAGTGGAAAGTTTAATTTAGAGATTGTCATACAACAGGTATATGGAGTATGCGTATTCAAATTAAGAAATAATAAGGTAATTAGGAAACTAAGATAATGCATATTTATAAGCATAGCACATAGAACTAATATATTTACGTTTTTAGGACTTTTTTAAGTTATACTTTACTAAACTACTTAGACCTCGTACTACCCTATGACTCTTGATTTATTTTCAATGATTTGCCGCACTATGACTTGTGAGACATTTAGCTTAGGTGACTATATGCTGGTTAACAGAAGTATGGTAGGCTGTGGCTCAGTGGATAGTGTGCTGGACTTGGAATCAGGGGGTAGCAAGTTGCAGTCAGCATGTCGTTGTGTCCCTTCACCCCAAATTGCTCCTGTGGGGATTGCCCTGACATGTGATGTAATGTTATAAAGATAATAACATCATTGAGTGTGTTTTCATTCATTGCTGTTGACATCTTCAGATAATGTACTGACATGTAATGTATGCAAAAACAATGTATAATCTATTAACTCAAGCAATATAGTCCAAACTTTCCTGAAAGCATGTCATCCTTTGGTTCAGTGCTGCAGGGAGGGGGGGGGGTTATTGTGATGGCTGCACATGTGATGAGAGGATGCACTGTGAATAGAGAGGGTGATCATTCTACTGAAGTCTTATTTAGAAGACATACTTTATTAATCCCTCACAGGGAAGAGTGTATGCTTGTAAACAAGTCTGTACATGTGATGGAAGAGTCTGCCAGCGCGTGCAGTGGATGGGCACCATTTTAATAAATTGACATACTTGTAAAGTCAAAATAACCCGTTAGACCTGGCATTGCTTTTTGATACGTATTTTAGTCCCACTGAGAGGTTCACTGTTTAAGCAGTCAGGTACACATTTCATTCTGAAGCTGTACAAAATGTTACAAAATGAACTTCCTTTGGCCATTTTTGTATCCTTTGCCACCCAAGCCGCGTCTCCTGTAATCCACTCGGACCACGTGTTTCTAAATCTGTATTCCCCTCCTGTCTCTTCTCTCAGTTCCAGCTGGGGGAAGTGACTCAGTTTGCGGCGCACGAGGAGAACGGCCGGCTGATGGGCTTCGTGGTGGAGGGCAGGGACTGGAGTGATGGAGACGAGGAGGGGGAGCCTTCGTTTAGCACCTTCGTCTTCGAGAGCAACACAGAGGGCGAGAAGGTAGATACAGAGAAAAGCTTTACCCTGTTTTAAGAAGGGTCAAATGTGTGTATATACGTGTACTAAAGTTGATGTTTTTGTCTTTATTCACAGATATGTTACACCATAAGTTTGGCGAAGGACATTGCAGAAGCTAAGAAGGTATCATCAATAACACAATCAGCTGATTTCTCCATAACAGAGAAATGACACCTCATTGATGTTTAAAGTTGGAAGTCATATTTTAAACAACCCGTAACTCTGGAACAGTCTCCCTGCAGTGAGCGTTAGAAAATGAAACCATATGCTCATCTCTTTCAATGTGTGTATGATCAGTTTATTTGGTTCTGATTTACTCTCTGGAGGCCTTTCTTCTTTTCAATGTTCTCTAGTCCTGCATCTGCCTTTTTATTTGTCTCTTTTATCTCCTGTGAAGCTCATTTTATTGCATATTTCTGTACAAAATGTGCTCCATCAACACATATTTCTTATATTATTTATTTAGGTTTTATAGTATCACAACACTACATTAGAGTGTTTTTTCAGTGGCTGATCAGGAGGTATTTATGAAGAGAAATAAGAAAACAACTTCTACCTCCCATAGTTCATACAAAAATGTATTGTCATGACTTGCGGATTTAAAAAAAAAATCACGCTCGGGTGAATAAGCATTCTGTTACGTTTGTTTTCTCAGGACCCAGACGCCCTGGCCCAGCTGTTGAAGAACATGCCTCTCACCAACGACGGGAAGTTCCTGCTGCTGGAGCCGGAGACGGGCGACACGACCAACGGAGCGGAGGAAGACCTGGAGTCTGAAGCCTAGTCCCCCCCTCAGGACCAAAAAAACCACCAGGGACACGGTCCGTCCTTTGCCTCGGAGAGAAGTTTCTCCTTGAAGGTGACGCCATGACCGGCTAACCCCTAACTCTGGTACTCTAGCAGCCATAATAGAGAGTGTAGGTCACTTCCACTCACCCTCTGTCACAGACCTGGAAGGAACAAAAAGCAGAACTGATGGCTTCTCTATCAGATCTGCTTTTCTTTTGTAGCACGGGTCTTTGGATTTGGAGTTGTATTTACACCTACTGTATGTGTGGGACTAAAAAGGGAACAATAGGTATCGATTGTGTTTCAATGTCTTCTAATATCCCCGGCTATCTAACAGAAGGTGGTGAATTACTTTGTTTTAGGTTTACATTAGTTCTTAGGTTTTACGTCGTTTGGAGAGTTCATTCCTTTGCTTTGTTTACACGTTAACTTGTACGTTATGCTCTTATGCAACTATTTGTGTTTATTTTGTTTGTTCGTGTACAAAAAAAGTTATTGCACTTCCAAAGTTAATATCAGTTTAGTAATGCTTGACGGCTACCGAATGCCCTTATTAAGACATTTGAAGTATCTTAGACTTTTAAGACAACGAAGGACTTCAAAATGGTTTAATTAATGTCGATCTTTAATCAATGACTGTTAAATTCCTTATGATTTAAACTGTGTGAGCATGTGTGCCCTGAACAGTGGACACAATTGGCATGAGCGATTAGATTAAGCATCTTTGTTCTTCCTGCACTCTTACCACTTACACATATGGTGGTCTTAAGCATTCCTACTAAACTGAATTCATGTAATATTTTTTTGTTATAACCACTACCTATACAAAGCAAGTCTTAAGATGATCTGTATGCAAGGTTCTCCTCAAGCAGCCAAATAATATTTAGTAGGTTGGGCTAGGTTTCTTTAAGGCGTTTTGTAAATACGAGCCGTGCGAGTGTCTATATGGTGTTTAATCAGTCGGCTGCATTAAAAGCTTTCAGAGTCAATATGCTAGGACTAATGCGGTGCATGATTAAATAATGGCGTTCTCTCCGTCCCGTCGCAGAATATTAAAACTACACTGAGCGCTGAGCTGTAATATTAAAATAAATGTCACGGTAACGCATGTAGGCAGTGGGGTATAATGTACGTTTGAATACAGGAAGATTAAAGGAAGGCAGGCGACCCGTCCCCTTTGGGTCCATGTTCGGTTTTAGTCAATTTGAGCTGTTATGATATTAATGGACGGTGGTGTTGAAAGATGAAAGTGTTTTTGTACCTGTAATACAGACGGGGTCATAACCACTGACTTGACGTTGATCGTGAAAGTTACATTGTGTTGACCATTGAGTGTCTGTCTGCTTTTTTTTTTTTCACTCTATCAGATTTCTTGGCGTAATCACATATTAAACACGGAATAAGTCTGGATATTTCCTCAAGGACTGTCTGTTCTTCTGGTGAAATCATTAATTATGAGTATGTTTTGTCACTACTCATTGTAATCTACCGAATAGTTTGACATTTGGGGAATGGGTACATTTGCTATCTGGTGTAAGAAGAAAAGATTGATAAACTAAAAACAGGTGTTAAAAGCTTTTGAAGAGACATGGAGCGTTACAACATATTCCGATCAATAATGGAAATTGAAGTTTTTGTATTTATCTCCTCAAACTCTTACTGTAAGTATAATGAAAGCGTCCCTCTTTAGTGCTGTTCTAGTGAAGGCAAGAGAGTACACGACTCTCACAGCACAATGGAGACATGTTCATATGTTCAAGCCTCTCTCTGTGGCCTTTGCCTGAAGCTTTTTGTGAAGCCTGCTCATTCTCATTATGAAACTGTAATGGTAATTAACCTTGAACCACGTCTCAGACTATTTCCTATTGGGTCCTTCAATCTGAAAATAATTGGACCTGGGGAGTCCTTGAAAAGTGAATACATTTGATGATTAAGGTGGTGTGGTACTCTTAATGAAAATATTGTTGTCAAAGGGTCACAGTATCCATGTTACTACACTAAGATAATGAGCGTGTTTCCCTAAATGTCAAACTTTTGCTTTAAGTGGCGACGGTTAACCATTTCTCTTCCTGTTGCCTGATGTAAATGCGTATTGGCAGGTCTTCTGATGCTTTAAAGAACAATTCATCCATCCAGTATGTTTGCCCTGTTCTTCTTCAGGTGCTGGTTGACACGCTTCAATCACACCGTTAATAAAACTAAAGCTTTGCAAACTAACCTGCAGTCCACAAGAGCCTCCGAATTTCTTTCCTGTTCGACTTACACAAGCTTGTCCTATTCCTGATTTATGAATATGATAACGTTTTTTTAAACTAAACCATCCATTCAATAAAATAAATCCTCTTCTTGCTGCAGCCCATTAAACGTGTTACTGCTGTGCTGCTTATTCTTGTTGAATGCTTGCCCTTGAAAGTGAAAGCAACATCAGGAGAACTCTGGGTACTCATGGTGTAGAAAATAGATTTCAGTTACACAGTAAATACTGCCCTCTACTTTTATGAATAGCCAAGGTTGACACAATCCATTACCCATAATGCTTTACACCTTATTTGTCCTAGTTTTCTTAAATAAATGCTAACATACAATCTTGAATAAATACAAGTAGCTTTTTTACACAAATGTGTTTTCTTCACAAAAGTACTTAAGCATCAAAACTAGAAAAAAAAGAAGTCATTTTGCTTTTGTATTTACATAATACATTATATATATGCACTTATATTCTATACAGCTGGAAGAACACCTGAGCGGAGACTTTACAGTAGGCATCTTTACAAACGTTGGCAGCATACAGAGAGTCCAGAAGCAAAGCCATTAATCAAGCGCAGGCATGTCGTTCAGATCCTGCACATTCATTACTTAAACTGGCGTTAATGTCAAACGCATGCTCTAATATAAAGCACCGGTGGGTTTTTGAATATATTTTGAACAGTGAAATGAAGGCCAGAGGAACTGCATTTATCACACGTCTGATTATGTTTCCTTTAAACACATTTCAGGGATTCTAAAAATGTAAACACACACGGTACACGAAGGTTCATTGGATAAGTATCTATGCCTACAGCTGACACACACGCCAGAACAGAGCTCAGGAGTCTTTGTAGTAGTTGTTGAAGTTGATGCGCAGCAGGAAGTCCTCCAGGTGAGGCTGGTAGCCCCGGTTCACCAGCTTGGTCACCACTGAGGAGAGAGGAAACATAAATCACTTAAAGGTAGGGTAGGTAAGAATGGAGAAACCAGCTCGAGTGCGCTAGAATTTGAAAGTACGCAGCCGAAAAAAATCTGCCCCTTCCTTCAGACTTCCTTACAGAGACCCTCCTCCAACACACGGGCACGAGATAAATTTGTGCACAGATGGAAGGCTGACAGGCAGGTAGGCCATCCAGTTATTTTAGCCTGGCCGGCTCAGATGATTGGTCGTGCTTTTTACAGTACTACAGCTTCCAGAGATGACTTTTTTTTATATATTTATTGTCAAAGCATTTAATATATTCATTGCCATCGGGATGTTAAGAGCATTCCATGGAATATAACAACAAGTATTTCTGAAGTGAATTACCTACTCCACCTTTAATACATGTTTTATTTTTAACAAGAAGTTACCACTCCTCTGTGGTTCAGTTACAGAATGATTTGTGGGGATGTATAATGCGTCAGTATCTTCACATAAACATCTGAAAATACGTATTTTATAAACGTAATGTCAGTGATGGGGGACAACATCCACTATAACTTACATTGCTTTAAGAAATAATCCTGTAATAACAAGCATGAACAGGAAAAATCATGAAGCCAGAAAAACTTAAAGTAAACCATAGCTAAAAATATATAAATAAATAAACCAGCTTTTTGTTTGTTATATATTTATACAAATAAAAACTCTTACTGTTACTTATTTATCCTAATCATGTTCAACACTTCTGATCTCCCAACCCCCCCATGCTGTGGGAGGGCACAGTATTAAATATATTCAAATGTTTAGACGCCAAACAGTGTTAAACCACTTGCCAGTAAAGTGCACCTACCTCTGTATACACAGACTGTTTCCTTCCCAATTATTATTCTTGAGGTTGAGAAGCACTGCTCTAACCCACCATCTTTTCTCACTTCTTACACATTTCTCAATGCAAACATGCACCTTTTCCAATTTGTTACTCTTTTTTTCACGCGCGCACGCACGCACGCACGCACACACACACCATAAAATGTTATAATCCAAAACAAGCAGCTTTAATCAATATGTTTTATACTTTGTCTTGATTGTTCATTAATATATAATTGGGCCCTTTTGTTAGTTTTGTTGACATTATTTCCAAAGTAATGACCTTTTATCCAGATCCAGATGCTTTACTCATTATCCTCAGGGCATGTTAATCAAGGTTAAATCTAACTTCCTCCTAAAAACATCTTTCTTATTGCCTCATTACTGCTAAAAGGGTAATACTCAGATACAATACGACCTACTCCAATTAAAAGAGCTGGAAGACTAAAGTAATCCCTTACATTCATTTGACAAGCTTTAAAAAACAAACTCTAAATTTGACATCATTTGGAAACCATTAATTACATTGCGGATTGAAATGAAGAGACTAAATCCAGTTTAAACCATTTTAACATTGGGCAGGAGCATCTGGTCTTCATTGCCTCCCTCTTGTCTTATCAGGTAGACATTTCTTTCTGATTTAATGTCAAGTGGATACTTCTATAACACATCATTTGCAAACTGAGCAACAGGTGAATCAAGCTACGTGATGAGCATATCAGAATCAGAATACCTTTATTAGTCCCACAGAGGGGACATTGACATTCTTACAGTGTCATGTAAGAAGCATGCAGACAAAAGTATTAAAGATAACAACAATTAAGAAAAAATTACAAAATACACATCCTGTAACAGTTCTGAGGATTTAGCAGCCAGGTATATATTGCACAGTTATTAACGGCATATATATATATTGCACATAGTTGGTTGGTATTTAACAACAAGGGGTGTTATAGTGTATAGTGTATGTAAAGATGTTATATCCTTACCTTTGAAGAGGAACTGTGAGTAGTACTTGAAGGTGTTGTAGGACTGCTGCATAGCGATGAAGCTGGGGTGCACCGCCTCCCCCTGCTGGCTGCCCCAGGGCTGTGCGATCAGCTGCGCCCGGAACTTCAGGATGAGGCTGAAGATGCTGTGGATGATGTTCATGACGGGGGCCGCCTTCTCCGTCAGCAGACCCCTGGGGGGGACAAGGGAGGGTGCAGAGTTTAGGAAACATGACAAGGAACTTTGAGATGACTTCTCGGAAGGGCTGGCATCATACACGGGAAAGTGTGATACTTACAACCTCACCTAATGAGATGAAATCATTCATCAGGTTCAAAAGTTAACCTCCCATCCGTCTGGAATTTTAATTAAGTTGTTACGAAGAGGGTGAATTAATTTTGTATGACATGATGGGTGCAGAGTGCCACTGCAACTTGCTGAGCCTGTACAGAGCCCGGAGAAATGATTTATCTCCAGTGAATTTTTCTGCATTTTTTTCCATATCTTCCTGAAATCCTGATGGTGTGTAATATATATATTTGCTGTCTACGTTAAAATTCACAAAACTTAGAACAGCGATAAAAACGTGTAATTTTGACTGTATTTGAAGGATAAGGGTTCCCAAAAAAATGCATCAAGTTGGGCTGCAATTATAAATCTGCAATCTATAAGTTGATTTAATGAGTTGAGCAAAAGACGTAAAGGCCAATCATTTCTAGTTAGGTTGATTTGAATATATTTTAGTTTTGGACTGTGGATCGCACAAAATAAGACATTTGTTTTCAACACATTGAGCTCTGCAAAATATTGATGGACAGTTTTAATTATTTTCTGGACCCGAGCCCAAATAAAAGTGTTTTTCTAGGGAGGCATCCATCCAACCTTTTCTCTGCCAAAACCAACTCCAACGCCTCGTCTAAGGCAGGGCTCGAAAGTAACGGTTGCCATTGGCAACCATTCAGAAAAAATGTCAAGCACTTCTTGGCCTTTGGTTGCCATCAGTGGCAACCACTTTTTAACATGAAGAAATAAGGACAGCAAACAGCTAAATGTGCACCCCAAAATAGATAAATGTTAATTATTTGTTGCATTAAGAGTGATATTTAATTATTGTTGTGACCAGTCGGAACCTGATACTTAAGTTGCACGTGCATTGGTGTGATTACGGAGCCAGAAAGAGATGGACGTTTACTCGCGTGCCGTGTGTTTGTTTTACAATTAATGGCGAAGCAAATTAAGTTATTTGACTGTGGGGTAAAAAGTTCGGCCAACCCGTCAACATCTCAAACGAATGTTCAAAGTGATTCAACTGATAAAGTCTTGGGAGGCGAAACATTCTGCTGCGTTGTGCATTCACTTCCGGTAAAAGTCCTTTCAAAATAAGAGTCCCGATCTTATTACTACCAAAATAAAAGTGCAAAACGAACT